ACCCTACAAGTGTGATCTGTGTGACTATTCTGCAGCACGGAAATCCAATTTAGACGAACACCTATTAAAACACACAGGTGAGAAACCCTACATGTGTGGGGAGTGTGGATACAGGACAGCTTTTAGGTCCAACTTAGCCCGACACATGAGAACCCATACAGAAGAAAAACCCTACAAGTGTGACCTGTGTGACTTTTCTGCAGCACACAAATCCAGTTTGGACTATCATCTAGCAACACACACCGGTGAGAAACCCTACATGTGTGGGGAGTGTGGATACAGGACAGCTCAAAAGTCTGGCTTATCTAAACATATGAGAACCCATACAGGAGAAAAACCCTACAAGTGTGACCAGTGTGACTATTCTGCAGCACAGAAATCCAATTTAGACGAACACCTATTAAAACGCACCGGTAAGAAACCCTACATGTGTGGGGAGTGTGGATAGCTTTTAGGTCCAACTTAACCCGACATATGAGAACCCATACAGGAGAAAAAACCCTACAAGTGTGATCTGTGTGACTTTTCTGCAGCACACAAGTTCAGTTTGGACTAATAAAACACACATGTTTGGGGAGTGTGGATACAGGACAGCTCAAAGGTCTGACCTATCTAAACATATGAGAACCCATACAGGAGAAAAACCCTACAAGTGTAACCAGTGTGACTATGCTGCAGCACGGAAATCTCATTTAGACCAACATCGATCTAGCAAAACATACCGGTGAAAAACCCTATATGTGTGGGGAGTGTGGGTACAGGACAGCTGCGAGGTCCAACTTGTCCCTACATATGAGAACCCATACAGGGGAAAAACCCTACAAGTGTGTCCAGTGTAGCTATTCTGCAGCCTCTAAGGCTATCCTATCTCGACATAAAAATCCATACAGAGGCACCAAGTCTACAAGCTATGATCATCTCGTAGTGACATTTAGTACGCACAGTCTACTGTTGACTACAGCTTCGCTACTTAATATTTTGATACGAATCTTAATGGTATATGACAGTTATGTTCATAAACATTTAGGCTGAATATTCTCTAAGAATTCATGATGTTTGCAAGTAGACAAAGGTGTTCCCAAGAAAAAGCCCTATACTTGTTCACTTTAAAATCTAATTATAGTTATGGCTATAACTTAGGTACAACAATAAGTCTTAGTTTAGCTTAGTAGCCCATATTCTTTGATGTAATATCAGATATCAAAATCTATTTTAGCTATCTAGAATTGTAGAGTGAGAATAGTAAGCGTTACAGTATAGATTGAATAATGTACATATGCATTATCAGTAATTAACATCGGTAAGTACTTGTACACAGTAGTTGAAGCTGAAAGGTAGACATTAGTGCTGTGTTTGTACACAGTAGTTGGAATGTAGACGTTATAGTGTAGTGTGTGTACGAGCTTAGAGCTACTACTAGTACTTCCTGTCACGAAATGTTTGCCTTTATGTCCTACCTAGACCTACCTACCTACCTAGTACCTACCTAGTCCTACAAACACAATTGTATCTTGTGACTATTAAGTATTTAAACTGCTAAGATTTGTTAGGCTGAAA